AGACTTATATTTATTTAATACCAAATCTGCTTAATGTTCTCAAAAACAAAAACAAATAAAGAGACGCAATTGGCTGTGTCAAATGGTGGCTTTGCACTAGTCATGGTGAGGCATCCAATTGTAACAAAAGCCCCCACTCACTGTATCTCCACATCCTCCTCCCTGCCAAAAAAGGATAATGCTCACAGATGCGAAGGCCATGCTAAAAAATCAACCCAAAATTGGAAGAAGTCGGTGTGTTTTTTCCCCTATACGTTTTTTCCCCTGGGAAAAATATACCATATATACTAAAATATAATCTGACCTGAATATAAGCCGAGGCACATAATTTTATCACAAACAAACTGAGAAAACTTATTGATTCGAATATAAGCCTAGGATGGGCAATGCAGCAGCTATTGGTAAATTTCAAAATAAAAATAGATACCAATAAAATTACATTAATTGAGGCATTGGTAGGTTAAATGTTGTTGAATATTTACATAAAACTGTAATTTAAGATAAGACGTCCAGCTCTGATTAAATCATTATTCTAACCTTCTTCGATGTAAATGTGCTTACGTACCCTTCCAATAATCACCATAGTTTATTTTTGAGTCGCCAACAGGCTGAGAATGGTGGTATACAAATACAGTAAATAAATAATAAATAAAAATTTAACTATACGTTTTGGGGAAAATGCTGTGTATATATGAGAAAGGAAAAGTGGGAAAAACTGGCACCAAGAAAGGAGGAGAAGGTGCATGCTGTGCAAGAGAAGAGGAAAAGAAGGAGAGTTGCTATGTGAAGAGATTAGAGTTCTGGCAAGAGGGTGTGGGGCTGAAAGAAGCCCTTCTTTTGGCCCCACGCCTTCCCACCAGGGCCCTCACCCAAGTATAAGCCGAGGGGGACTTTTTCAGCCTAAAAAAGGCTGAGAAACTAGGCTTATATTCAAATATATACAGTAAATTTTGTGTGTGTGTGTGCGTGTGTGTGTGTTTGTATGGACAGTCAGAATGGATACACAATTAAGAAAAAATGATACTATTTTAGAGATAATATATCTTTATGTATTTTAGAGATAATGTATATTTAGAGATAATGTATCTTTATGTATTTTAGATATAATGTATATTTAGAGATAATGTATCTGCCCCTTTACAAAAATAAATGCCAGTCCACAAGAGGGCAAAGAGCATAAATATTTATATTTAGCAAATCTGTTTCCATCCAAAAGATGGCAGTGCCAGATCAATCATCAGTGTATGTATTACAAAAACAAGCGAGGAAAGAAAGAAAATGCTACAATGAAGAGAACATCCTTACACAAAATAAATTGCTGTTGCTTATGAAATACTAACATCTTGATATTCTCTAGATTAAAAACAGTAGAGTGATTATTGTCCTTTCAAAATCTTTGCAAATACGAAAAGTCTAAATTCAAGTTAAAGGTTTGATTGTCATTCCTCAAATATAAATATAAACAGTTGAAAATTAATAATTCTCAACTGTTTATATTTATATTTGAGGATTCCTGCCACAGATATGGGTGAAACGTCAGGAGATAATGCTTCTGGAACTTTGCCATACATCCCGGAAAACTCACAGCAACCCAAAGCAAAAGATATTTCCAGAAGATGAGACTTCCAGGAAGGCATTCAACTGGCTACTGAGAAAACAAATACAAATAGTGCTGTGTCTAATGATAAAACTGTACTCAAGAACAAAGGACTCCTAGGTACAAATGAGTCAAAGTTGACAGGAATGGGAAAGGTTATTACATAGTTATTTTATTCTTATTACATAGTTATTTTACACAGGGTGGCAGTAATAATAAAATGGGAAGTAGCAAAAGTGGGACTTGAGCACTGGGACATTGTGGTATCCAGGGAGTGAGGATCTTGGAACCAAACCCCAGTGGATACTGAGGATCCCTATATAAGCATACCATCAAGAACAATTCTGACTTTAAAGCACTAGCCTAATGCAGAGAGACAACCGGGAATTGCTTGCATGCATGCTCTAAGGACTCTATTTACCCTGCCCTATATCCCAGGATCTGATCCCAGATTATCCTCTTTAAACTGGATATGTGTCTCCACTATGAGATACCCCAGTATTAGAAGATAATCTGGGATTAGATTGTGGGACATAGGGCCAGTGTAGAAGGAGCCTGTGATAATCCTTCCCTATGCTATCCAAAGAGAATGGTTAACACTAGATTATCATAGTGACCTCCCAGCCATATAATCCAGAATATCAAGGCAGAAAATTCAACATATCCATTCTGAACTGGTTTATCTGAGTCCACATTGCCATATAATCAAGTTTAAAGCAGAAAATGTGGGATTTTATTCAGCGGTGTAGAAGGGGTCTGAGCCCATGGCAGTTAAAGTGGTGTCAAACAGCATTAATTTTACAGTGTAGATGCACCCCTAGAAGCCCCAGTTTAGGCAATAGGAATTCTGGCTGGGTGTGGACTCTAAATACTACAAATCCCATGACAGTTATGAAGTGGGATCATACCACTACAACTGCCTAGCGTGAAAGGGCCTAGTACATCTACAATAAAGAATCAATAGTTTGACACCACTTTAAGTGCCCTGCCTCAATGCTATGGAATGCTGGGAAGTGTAGTTTTCTAAAGCTTCAGCACTACTTAGCAGTGCTAAAGACCCTTTAAAACTGCAACTCCCAGGATTACATGGCATGGAGCCAGGGCAGTAGAAGTGGTGTCAAACTGCATTAATTGTACAGTGTAGGTGAACCCCTAGAAGCCCCAACTTAGGCAATAGGAATTCTGGCTGGGTGTGGATTCTAAATACTACAAATCCCATGGCAGTTATGAAGTGGAATCATACCACTACAACTGCCTAGCATGAAAGGGCCTAGCGCATCTACAATACAGAATCAATATAGTTTGACACCACTTTAACTGCCCTGCCTCAATGCTGGGAGGTGTAGCTACCTAAAGCTCCAGTACTACTTAGCAGTTCTAAAGACCCTTTAAAACTGCAACTCCCAAATACTACAAATCCCATGACAGTTATGAAGTGGGATCATACCACAACTACCTAGCGTGAAAGGGCCTAGCGCAGTGGTTCTCAACCTGGGGTTCCCAGATGTTTTTGACCTACAATTCCCGGCCAGTTTATCAGCTGTTAGGATTTCTGGGACTTGTAGGCCAAAAACATCTGGGGACCCCAGGTTGAGAACCAATGGCTAGCGCTTCTACAATAC